GGGTTGGAACTGGATGATCTTTAAGGTCCCTTCCAACTCAAACCACACTATGATATACAGAACTATATATTGCATTCTGATAAACCAGAGACGTGATGGCCAGCGGGTCACTCATAGAGGTTCCAGCTTGTGCTGCAGCGTTACACCGTCTCGGTTCTTTTCAGAAAACTCCACAGCGAGAGGCACTTGATATATAACATTCACTCTTACAGATCTCAATGCTCTTTAAAACAAAATGGCTTAAAACTTACTTGATTCCTGGAACTTCACATGATTTAGGTCTTGATGACCCAGTCTAAAATAGAAGGAAGACATTTTTAAAGGCAAAGATACTGCTGGAGGTTCATGCTTAGGATATATTTCAATTAGCAGGTTTTCTTTCATTGAATACATTTCTACCAAAACACAACACAACAGCTCTGTGAAGCTCTCAGAAGACACCCATCACCTTTGCTGCTTTATTAGCCCAACGAGGCTCAAGTTTAAAGAGTTTCTCCTCCTACAAACACACATGTGCATGCACACGTACATATAAAGCACCTTTCTGATCCAAAGTTTAGTGATTTGTGGCCAAATAAAGCATTTAATCCCTGCTCTCTGCAAGAGGTTTGTTTTGGTTGACAATACTCATAGCATTATTCACCTGCACATGTTTAGAAGATCAAATCTCTACTCTTTGAGATGCGAGATTCCTACCTTTTTAGTGTCCCATCCTTGCTTAGAGAGGGTTTTGTCTGCCTCAGAGGTGGTTTCCTCCATCCCAGGGACAGTCAGCAATAGAACTAACGAATGAGAGCAAAAGGAATTACGTTATAATATTAAGCTTCTCTGTAAGACATTTCCGGATTGGAAGTTTAACCACCTGAAAACTCTTAAGTAACCCATTACCGCTATGAAACGATGGCAGTCTACTGTCCTGAGGTCAAGGTTTTAAAAAATAAACACCACAGGAGTCTAAAATGGTATGTAATTAGCACGGAGACATTATCAGCTCCAAAAAAACCCCCAAATAATAGCTTAAAAAAGGCTGGCCTCCAATTTACTCTGCCTCGATCTAAT